TTTTTGGGGGGGGGGGGGGGTAGGGTGAAGTAAAAAAATTCAACTTTCGAATTTCAAAAATGTATAGGGGAAAAGTTACGCCTAGGCATCAAACTAAAGCGTACCAAAGCGTTCCTCGAAAAAAAAAATTCTTGGCGTGCCGCTTTTGCCATTTGTGTCAAGAAATAACGTAATTCAAGCTGTTTCCCCCGATTCCATCCTACTGTTTAAGCATGATGAAGATTGGCTAGAGCCCTGACTTTTGGAGTATTAACTATCACTTCTAGTAGTCATTTAAGGTATGCTAATTAGTTTTTAGATCAACATATTTTTTGTGCCCTCCTTATGTCCTTAAAAATGCAAAAAACCCGATTGCGGCCGAATACGCCCTGTACATTTCAACGATTTTATCGATTTTTTAGGTGACGTGGCAACCACGCAAAAAGTCAATTTTCGTTTTTTAGGAACCATTCATATAGATGATTAGGCAAAAATATTAGTTTTTTGAATACGGGCAGTTTTTCCCCCATTTGCGAGCTCACAGTTAGGCCGAATCGCTCGATTTGGCCGAAATCACATCGATTTTCGCTATTTTTTGCCCGACTTGGCAAGCATGTAACAAATCAGGCTTTCAATTTTCTTAGGCTCTTTTTATAGTAGAATAAGAGGATATAATAATTATTTTGCTGGAGGATGTTTTTGTACCTCCGCGGAGCCCTTACCAAGTCAGAAAACCACGATTTGTAGCGACTTTTCAGCACTTTTTTACGATGTTTTTAGTGACTTGGCAACCACGCAAAAATTTGGCCCTTCAATTTTCAGAGACTCTTTTCATGGCAGAATAAGATCCCGTAAAACGTTTTTTGTTTCTTATCATTTTTGCACTTTCTCAGAGGCAAGAAGAAGATGACTCTTGACTCCCATTCATCGCTTTATAAAAACCTTAAATATTTTAACTCGGTTTTTACGTATTGAACTTCTATTGATAATTAAACGTTTATTTCTTCAAAGACTTTTTACTTTATCATTGTTCACTTTAATTTAAATACATTAATTAAATAAAACTGTTAATAATAATTAATAATATTTAATAATTAATTAATCAAATCACTAAAATTTAATAATTAAATATTTTTGTGAACTCTCGTATCAATTACAGCTCAAATACGTAAACAAAAGAGTTGAAATATTTAAGGTTTTTCAAGGGGGTCGAAGCCCCTCACTTAAAACGGCGCGGAGCACCGTTTTTTCTTGCTCATACTTTGTGCCACGACCAACGAAACTTATCGGTAGACTCCGGCCCAAGATCCATCCATATAGGTCAGTCATTGCGCAGATTTCCCCGCTCGGGATAAGCCCCTTTCCATTGGCTCGTGACGTCAGCATTACCTACTGCCGCGAAAACCAGAAAAGTCGGAAACAATGCTTTTCTTATGGGAAAGAGCAACTTTTTCTTAACGAGTCATCTTACTTTTAAATCCTTTGAAACTTTCTGAGTGTCTAAAGAAACGTTTAGACATTAGCATTCAGGGTTTCGATTTTGCCGAATTAGTGTTCTTTCATCTTTACAGTTTACTCTGCATCAGCTATTTTTACACGCGAATCTATACCACTAGATGGCTTGTTACATCGCTGACTTCAAAAATCATTTAAAAATATAAAAACGCAAATTCAGCTGAATTTAAACCCTGGACGCTAATGTCTAAACGTTCTTTTCGACACTCAGAAAGTTAATTCAAAGGATTTAAAAGTAAGAAATTTAAATGATTCATTGGGAAACATTTGCTATTTCCCAAAAGAAAAGCATTGTTTCCGACATTTCTGGTTTTCGCGGCAGTAGGTAATGCTGACGTCATGCGCAGAAAATTCTCATTTCGGTTTGGGGAATGACTGACCTATATGGATGGATCTTGCTCTGGCCCACTATTTTACCATAGAGAAAAAAAAGGAGGTGTTTGCATCTTGAGGATTTGTACCCACCTACGTCATCAATGTAAACAAGACGCTCGTTGAGGGTTATGTTGACGCTGTAAAAACGGACCATAATGTCCGATTTTTTTACTTAAATCAACTCTTTATATAATTTCAAGCACTTTTTATAGAATGACTTTTTCCCTTAAATTACACAATTTCTAAGAAAATCGACAGGATAAAAACGTCGCTGTACCCAATGACGTCATCAAAGCTATAGATACTCTATGAAAAATTCCAAGATGCCCGAAATGCAAACACCTCCTTTTTTTTCTCTATGCTATTTTACGGCTTACCATGTAAGGTTACGGTGCAGGGGAGTGCTCCAGAGATGCCATATCTCTCAGAAATGAAAAATTAACCACCGGGCTAGATAGGGCCTCTAAATCGTGGATATCACTGCAAACATGTTATTCCTACCACCTGAATTGAGTACTTCTTCGTACAGTATGATCAGACTGATGGTAAGTTGTAATATAAATGAACACATTAGCACTGTAATACCCCGGTATCCGCGAGGGTTACGTTCCGCGAAAAGACCGCGGATTCCGATTTCGCGGATACGGGGGCATTGGTCTTATGGCAAATGAAGGGTTAGGGGACATGTCAAATGAAAAATGCTTACATCCACCTATGGTTTGCGGGAGAAAGTCACTAGAGTTGGCTGTTTCATTTTACGCCGTAGATCTTTTTGTATTTCAATGTATGGAAGAAGTAGACTGCTGAGGCTTCATTGGAAAGAGCGACGCCGTTGGATGTTCTTAATTTGTTTAATTATTTCTACATGTCAGACTGTATTGTTTATAGAACGTTGTTATAGAAGAGAATTTGTAGCATTATCTCAATAAAATATGCAATCTTTCAGAAATTAAAAAAAAAGAAGAAAAAATGGAGAGAAAAAATTAAAAAAAGATTTAAATAGTCAAAAAAAGACTTTAAAGAATTTTTCCGGAATCTTGAGGCTACTGGGGACCAACAGTTACACTTCATATTTAAAAAGTTTGATAGAGGATCTTAATTTGTCCACTAATTCCCCCATTTTTTACCACTGTGCGATGTAAATTTGTGAAGCTGAATACAATTTCATGCATTGATGACCGATAAGAACATTGTTAGCCATGAAAACTGCAGCAGACCGACAATTTTACTTCCATTTCTAAAAATTTGACAAAGAATCCTGATTTGTCGACGATTTCTCCCCATTTTGGACCACTGTGCGACCAAAATTTTTGAAACTGAACACAGTTAAATTAAATGTTTGGGGGCCCAATGAGAACATTTACAGCCGAAACCCATCAAAGGTGTAACTTTTTCGTCCATTTTCCCCGTCTTTTTGCTGTAGAAGTGCTGTCCAGAATGATGGCGATTTGGCAACTCTGCCCCCTCATTTCTCAAAAACCGTGCGTATACTCAAGCTAAAATTTTTACCAGAGTTTTAGGGTATCATAAGGCATCGTTTGGGCTCGGTTTCAGAAAAATCGCCGCTGGCCCAAATTGTGCCAAAAAACGGTCGTTTTTGGCGTCGCTCTGTAGTGCCCTTTCCATGTGCGGATCGATACGAAGTGCTTCCTCACCAACGTTTTGGACATTTCTTAAGAAGTCGCTTATTAGATTTTTAAGATGAACCTGGGGCACTTCCATGACACCTTCCCACAATCATTTCATTCATGGTTTGCCAAGATTCTCTTCCCCGATCGCGGATAAGCAAGTCACGGAGTTGCGGATAGCGGGGTAATGCCGCAAAAAATTCGATCGCGGATGAGGGAATCCGCGGATGTCGGGGTATTACAGTAGTTCAGTTTAGCAGCAGCAGCGGCTTCCATGCGCTTCGCGGATCCTATAGGGGAACAATAATAATCAACCACCCTCGAAGGGTGTTCCGTCTTGAGGCGATCATCTCAAAACCTTGCTCCCCGGGCTTTCCTATTTCTTTTTGTTCCCAATAGAATCTGAAATTTCAGCATATTATTGGCTGAAGTATACTTAGATATATTTTCCCTCAGCCTATTGCAATTTTGGAGGAAATTAGGTACATTGGTTTTAATAGGGAGAAAATAGATTGATCCGCGGATGAACTGTGTTTTCCGGCTATGAAATGCGCCTAAATGATTCCAAACCTAACAATGTCTTCGGAAGACATCCAGAAGCCTATTTTGAATGATGAAATTTCATATTTGACCCAGTGAAGGGGATAAGGTGGGTCACGGCGCAGTTAGTTTTGAGGCGCTGCGCGCAGCAAAATGATCGTATCTGAAAGTTTTTCATCAGCCTCAAAACATTCTTCAAAAAATTCTGAAAAAAATTGAGAGTTATTTTAATGCCTAAACGCAACTTTTTCGAAAAAAGTTCCAAAACGGTCCATCCTATACCATTGCTCCCCCCCCCCCCCTCCATCGAGGAGGATTTCCCTGAAAAGATGGGGCCGAAAAGTTGCCGCTTTTGACCATAAGTTTTACCTAAGAACGTACCCCAAGTTTCAAACCTCTTCCTCGATAATTGAGAAACATTTTAGGGAGGATGAAGGGGACGATTGAATCAACCTGCTGTGTAGTGAGAGTTTTCCCATGTCTGTGATGCTCTCTGATTGGTTTACATACCTATCAGTTTTTGGCTTTCCATGAGGCTCTTGCTTGTGGAGTGGATTAATTACGTTTAGGTATTCTAGCATAATAAATAAAGGTGAAAGGAAATTTCACCTTCAGCAACACGAAACTTCATACTGCAGCTCTGGACATGCAAGTACTCCATGTAGACTGTTATTTTTCTAAGACAGTAGATACGAGTGGTAGGTAGTTATTTTCCTAGGTTTTTGTATGCTGAGTTATGGGGTAAAAATTTGTAAGAACAGAAAAAAAATGTTCTTCAGGACGAATTGAGTAGAGAAAGTATGTTCTCATCACTGTAAGTAAACACGTTCCATTCATCATTGATCTTTTTCCCGCAATTGGATTGTGGGAGTGGGCCCAATTGCGACGGCGCAGCTGAAACCTACAGGATAAGGGGGGTCGAAGAGAGAAGGGTTGGAAGTTGGAAGGGCTCTGTCGTTCTGTAGTGTAGTTTTCATTCTTCCCGCGCAGTGGCGTACTCCCTCCGGAGTTCGATCAGCAACAAATCGAAAGTTCGAAATGCATTGTGGGTATTCTGCCATCTTGAGATTTTGTAATCTCGTCGTGAGTGAATGGTTCGGGAAAGTGAGCGAAGCTTTTGTTTTTTAATTATTTAAGGTAGTTTATTTAATCCGTGATTATGGCGGGCAACACGGGGATGGAGCAACTCATCCCCATAGTGAACAAATTGCAAGATGCATTCACAACCCTTGGGGTTCATATGGAATTAGACCTTCCACAAATTGCAGTGGTAGGCGGACAAAGCGCTGGGAAAAGCTCCGTTTTAGAAAACTTCGTCGGCAGGTGAGTGTTCAATCAGTTTTTGTCCAGTTTCTAACCCCAGCTCACTGAGTTCTCATTCGTGGACGTTTGTTATACCACCCGAGCTTTTCAATTTGATGGGAGAACCCTCATCACTCCCCAGCAAATCAATGCTAACCTCAGTTCATCTCGAATGAATCAGATTTTCTCATCTCTTATCACAACAACTTCGCCCTTAAAATTTACATTAGCGTCTGCAGGTGCCAGAACATCACGTTTTGGTTCATGAAAGCTGAGCAGTTAGAAGCCTTCATTCATGTCTCTTTCAGCATTTTTGACATGCTCATCTATTGATTCTCTGCTAATCAATAGCATTTGTTTTGTCATGCATCAGGATTTCACTGACCATCAGCTACTTCCACTTTGTTAATGCAGACATTTCTGTTTTTGCTGACGGGACTAGAAGGAGTGCAAGGGAGTTTGAGCTCCTAATGGCCACAACTTTACAGCCCGCTGAAAGATTTTACCCTCTTCAGCAGCTAGCCTGTCTAATCATTGATAAAGCATCTCCTCATTGTTGGAAACAGCTAGGCCCTTTGTTGTCGGAGAATCCAAATCATGTGTGTGTACATTTCGTGATTTGGGTGTTTTATTCAATGCACTTGATTTTCGAAACCTATCAACCTATTTCACAACAATCTGGGTCATTTTATCATTGGTAAGGCCCTTGCTATATCTGTTCATGGGATGTGCCTAATTTCAAGCAGTACCCTGCGAACAAGCAGAGCCACAGTGAAGAATTGAGGGTGCTGTTTGATGACGGCTTTCTATACAGTTTTTCTCATGTAATTTTCATGAATTCAAACACCCTGATAGAAGGGTCTATCTGTAGGATGTGTGTACAGAACTGTAAGAAATGAAATTTTCCAATATCCTTGAATGAAAGAACTTTCTTTTTGCAAATTTTGTTCCTGATACATGATTTTCTTTACCTCGTTGAGAGATCTTGGTCTTGGACATGGAGATAAAAGTATTATTTCGTTTGGAAGTGGTTTTGGAATTAGTGAGATGAATGTGAAATCAATGATGATCAATGATGTGTGTTAGTGTGAAATCAATGTGATGAATTGATGGTCAGCAAATGATGAAGGTATCATAATTTGGTTAAGTACTTGTCTTAGAAGCATGCAATGTCATCTCAACATTGTCCTAAAAGCCCATCACATATTTCTGTTTTCCATTCTGTTTAGTGTCCATGTAAACCAATTGAATTCATGTGAAATTTGTTACAAGTACAGTACCTCAACCAGGAGAGCATGTACAGATGTGAAATTCAGAAAATTAATAGGGCCTTCACCGACTCCTTGGCGAATAAATTCAGAGTCCAAAAGAGCAGCCGATCTATGAATTCAAACCGCCTTTTATCTTATCCTGTAAATTCTTAATTTAGTTATTTCCAAATACCTAAAGTCTTGGAATTCATTTCTCACAATAATGTGACATGTTTCAATGATATCAAGAACTCTGCCGAAATTGGGCAATTGCCCCTCTAAATTTGGGGGGCTAGGCCATTGTGGCGCATAAAAATTTGATGCACTATGTGGATTAACTCGTCATTATGTCAGACCTTTTTTCTATTGTACAAACAAGATAGAATGGAAATCATATTTACCCTGCTATAATAATTTCCTGCAAAATTTGTGGTCCAAAAAATGTGAGCAGTGACATGAACAGTAAAACAACCAACCAAATGCAAAATGCATAAATTTGCTTGCAAATTTTTTATTGCTCCATCTGAAAGAGCTGATTTCACATTATTATTTACAGTTTTTCTCTGATATGGGAAATAGTATAAAAATAGATTTAAAAGTGAGAAAATGCACCGCCTAGTGACACATCTAGCGGCATTTTCCATTTAAAGGCATGTATTTTAGCAGATTAGATTATCCATACTATAAGCTCCAAGACCTCCTAATTTTGCGAAACTGGTAACGCTTAGTTCCAGCGTTCTACTGGGCGGATTTTCATGATTTTTGCGGCTATCGACAGGCAATTGTCTCTAGATAAGTCAACTCTTTTCAGATTTTCAAAATATGGCCCAGGATTTTTTATATTACGCGGTGAAATTGCGAATTCTCCCATTTAAACAATGTAAATTTATACTTTTTGTCATGGTTCGTTTGAGCGTTCTACCGGGCCGATTTCCATGATTTTTGCGTAAATCGACAGGTAATAGGCCCTAGATGAGCCCGCTGTAATCAGATTTTGGAAAAAGGACCCAGGTTTTTTTAAAATTACGTCATAAAAGTGAGTGAGTTTACAGAATGCTCCGGTACTGCTACCGCTATGCGCGGGAGGATGCGCAGTGGTTGAGGAGGTTGCGCAGTAGCTGTGTAGCCTGCGCATCAGCTCTACACTTATCTACACAAGATTCGCACCGGTGACTTCACGTCGAGCGGTGGCTGAGTCGTCTAAGACGTGGAATGCGTACACTTGGAAACCGGTGTCGGTTCGATCCTCGATTCATGATTTCTTATTTATTACCTGACTATCATCTTTGAATGTTTTACTGCAATATTTCATCAAACAGTCATTCCAAAACGCGTCCTTTTAATTTTAAAGTAAATTTAAGAAAAGTTCAAAATTAAAGTATACCTCATATCGTAATTTTTTACGGGAAAAATGAAACTAACACTGATAGGAGGGTAAAAATAGGGCCGCGAAGCGGCCCATTGATGGCGCGGAGTGCCCTCAGGGGGTCGGGCCGCGTAGCGGCCACGGGGTGTAGCCCCCTAGTTTCCCATAATCCCTTTTAAATTTTGAGGGGCTCCAACTTTCATATCCTTCAATCTAGGAGCTTTTTCAACATTTTGAGTCTTTGTCACAATTTATTGCAAAGTTACGGGGGGAGGGGGAGGATGCCTTGAGCCGGTGGTGCCGAGCTTTTGGATCACCCTGGAGCACAGTCGCCAAATAATGCTGAAAATCAGCACCTTTCCCTCATTTGAAACCATGTCAAACATCTACAGTTTATCGCATAATCTGGCAACCTTGCCCTGTAGACTTTCCGACTTCGGTAGAGACTATTGGTATACTGTTACGTATCATATTGTATTTTTTTTGAACTGGATACTACAGTAAAAGCTCGTGAAGACGAAAATCCGCTTAAGGCGAAATTTTTTTCGGCCCCTTGACATTTACATAAGAGTCAATGTAAAAAAAATACGGATAAGACGAAATTTCGAAATTTTGACCCGTAACCAAAGCACAAGACGAAGAAAAATTTCTGATTTTTTCCCCTGAAATTGGGTAAAAACGACAAAAAAGAGTCAATTCTTGGGGAAAATAGACTTAGTTTCACGTACCTTGACATAAAAAGAGTAGGTTGAGAGTAGATCGAGGGTATCCTCTGTTTTGCTGGATGGCTGAGATGCAATCGACAGTTGACGATAAACTGATTTGCGTATTTTAAAAAAATGATCTGTTTACCTCAAAAATGATATCAGGATGACTGAGAGTAGCGCAACTTTCAAGCTCAGTTGCCGCTTATGCCGAAAAATTTCGTCTCAAGTGGAGAACGGTTAAGACGAAAAGCCGCTTATGACGAAATTTTTTTTGGTCCCTTCATTTTTCGTCTTAACGAGCTTTTACTGTATCTATGTTCTGTTCCTTGGAATCCTCTGTTGGTGATTGAATTTTGGTCGTTTCTTTTCTCAGGGATTTCTTACCCAGAGGATCAGGTATTGTTACCAGGCGACCTCTAATTTTACAGCTTATAAATTGTCCCACTGGTAAGTGTCTTTTAACTTTCTCCATCATTTGCATGTGTGTTTTTCTTGTTGTTACAATATTTTCTTTAAACATTACTATCTAGAAAGAATTTAGGGCCAGCTTTGAAATGTTGCGTTCATTCTCCTCAAGGACTGCAGGAAGTTTTCAACCAATAATTTGCAAATTCGTAATTTAGCACCTAGGAAACTTATTGTGAGAATGGCTGAAATTTGCTGAAATCCTGCTTTCATTGCCCATAAATATATCGGTAGGTTTAATGACGAATATTACTGCCAAGTAGTTTTGTTTGAATAGAATCGGTTTCTTGCAGAAGAGAGTACCAAGGTTTGTTGCTCTTCCTCAAAATTGTCTGCATGGGACCGCTGATAAAGTATAACTTGAACTTCTCTAAAATATGTCTCCATTTTAAAATCACATACTGAAGGCTTATCTTACATGCTGTTCAAAAATGTAAAGAAAATAATTGGTATCCTTTTTTTCAATGTAAATCATAAAAACTCATTGTAAAACATGTAACTAAGCATCTTACTACTCTAAGGTTAGAAGAATTCTACTGTTCTAAGACAAAATGTAAGTTTTTTTTTTTTTTTTTTTTTTTTTTTTTATTGGTATTTGAACAACAATCTACAATATATGTATTCAGTTGACTTTGGATAAATGCCAGTGTCGATCTCTTGATATTCATGTCAGTACATACCAGATCAAAACAACAGTATTTTTTCGATGTCTTCATTGGATATCATCAATTAAGGTTATTAATTGAAGATTCCATTTAAGTTCATTTTTACCTCAAATTCACTCCAATTTCTTTACCACTCCTGGCAAAACCCTTGTTTCACAAGTTGACAGCATTTTCAATTGCTTTGATCGCAGAGTTATCTGAGAATTGCAGTAGATCAGCTGGTTTATCAAACGCTATCAAGGAAGTCTTGTTATCACTGTTGCCAAGTCCATGGGGATTCTCATATTTTTCGCAAGAGGTAGATACAAGAGCTGAGAGGATACAAACGAGCATATTCTGCCATGCTAAGGAAGAACGCTGTATGAACCAAAATAAATTGTTTGAGTTAGATATGAAATTATACCAGGTGAAGCATGCTCTGTTCAATCGTGAAGTCAGCAAAGGCGTATCTCCATTGGTTTCAGGGATATGGAGGGGGGTATCTGCCGTATGTCCCGTATAGCGGCGAGGTTTCAACGATAGATTGCCGTATGTACAGGAAACCTCGGGACGCGGGTGGCACTCACGGCGTTTTTCCCCATGCTTTGCGGACATGCGGCACTCGCCCCGTGCAGCCCTCGCCCCGTGCAGCTTTCGCCAATGGAGATGTTGAATGTGTGAGGGATTTGCGATTTGACTGTTGTCTCTCATGTGAAAGTTCGCGAGAAACACGATGGTGCCACTGATTTTCTCTGAAATCATCTCCCAAGCTCAAAAAAAGCTCTCAAAGTGAGGCCAAAATGGAGGGGATATCCCGCCCTACCCTGAGAGTCCACCTCTACATCAAAACAAACTCTCCATGCAAAGATAGGGAGCAAAAACATTAGCAGGGTTGCCGTGTTTTCAGTTTTGGAGTCCTCAAATGAAAAGGCAGCCCTGTCAATGTATTTGCTCCCTATCTTTGCATGGAGAGTTTGTTTTGATGTAGAGGTGAACTCTCAGGGTAGGGCGGGATATCCCCTCCTTTTTGGCCTCACTTTGAGAGCTTTTTTTGAGCTTGGGAGATTATTTCAGAGAAAACCAGTGGCACCATCGTGTTTCTCGCGAATTTTTACAGAAGAAACAACAGTCAAATCGCAAATCCCTCACACATGCAACATCTCCATTCCCGGACTCACGGCAATGTTGGCCGCTGATCACCCCTACCACCAACTCTTTTATCCGACTTAAGAGTTCCAGTTATGCATGTTCTGAGTAATTGTGATCACTTACGCTGTTTATCATCTGCTGGTAGCATGTGATTTGTTTCCGGATAGATACGCATTCTCCTTTCGTTGTCATTTTCGTTGAAAATGTTTCCGGGTGCAAGTTCTACCTTATTCTTTTAAGAATTAGAAACTAAGATTTTGCCGTGAAATTTTTACAGTTTATTATTTTATGTTTGAAGACGACTAATGAGACCTTAAACAAATATTTTTTTTTTAATGGTCAAATCTTCAATTTTGTTTTCCTTCTTTATTTATGTTCAAACAAAATGAGAAAGGGAGAATTCAAACGACGATACAAACGAGCTACGTTGTTTTAGTCACGTTCTTAATTTTTATAATTGGATTGGTTCCTCTGCGTATCTTACTCAATCCTAAAAAAGGCATCATATTGTCCACTAAATTTGTGTAAATTCTCGGCGTTTTGAAACAGTCAATTTTATTCGACGATCTGTCTCTACATTGTCAGTGGTAAATTGTATAAATTCTTTTTTAAACAAATTCTAACGTTAAATTTTCTTTTCATATTTTTGAAGTTGAAATTTCATAACTAACAATAAGCAAATCAAGTAATTGGAAAGCTAGCCTCGTTATGAAAAAAATAATTTGATGAATGCGGAATAGTCTCCTCAAGATAGAAAGTGAAAAAAAAGAGAAAAACAAAGGTTGCCGAGCGAAAGAAATGACTTTATTCTTTACTAAAATCAGGAAACTACTGACCACTGCAATTATTTTTTCGGGCAGAACTTACTTTCTTCATTTAAGGCCAACTTTCAATTTAACATGCCCCTCATTCAAAAAAGAAACATTCAAATACCTAAAACAGAAAAATAAGAAGCTTCTGATTCAGTTGCAGTTACTTTCGTGATTATTATCTTTCCTTTTTAATTTTTATTTGAATTTTTAAAATAGCTCTACATCTTAAAAACACGGAAGGTTAATGATCTTGGTTATTTGTGAAATGATTCCTGCAAAAATAAACCTCGTAGAAACGGAGGAGGTGAAATCTTTATACCGCAGCCAGCAGCGTTGGAAGCGCGTCCTCGGCACTAGGATGGACACACGGCAAAATCGGTACAGTGAAAGGACCGTGCCTGCACGGGCAGTTTGCCGTGAGTCCGACCCTCATTCTTTTGTGACTTTCCGGGAAGTCATTACCTAATTGCAAATGATCTAAGCGCTAATGAACAACCAAGGGATCAAGCTGTCACTAGGAGAAAACTTAGAACTCGCAAATCTCGCAGAGAGGCATGCTGTAGACTTTGAACATAAATATCTCAGTTTGAATCTGATGGTTCATACGGCGCTCTTCCTCAGCACGGCAGTATTGCTGTCAAGATCCTTGTATGCTTTACATTTTGGGGCAAAGCCTCTTGAGCATCTAATGAATATCACTTGTGTTTATGCATTTGCTTCATTTCCATACATACTTGTCAAAGTCTCATGACTATCGTACCATTCGATAAATGATAGCATGACTCATAAATCTTTTCCGGTAGGTTAATACTCTCTAATCTTACTGTGAGGAGACTAGTTCTTTAATAATTAAGATCCACATAGTTTCCTCGGGTAGGGAGCTTCTTTTCTTTTCTTTCCTTTCAAGAAACAGTGAACGCTTTGAATTTGATCTGGCCGTGCCCTTTGGCCAGGCATCATTTCTGCTCTTATTTTGTTGAATTTTTACCTGAAGCTAAAAATATCTTCTTCTGCCTTTTGCAAAGAATATTTAAAAAGCTGTGGTTTTTAACTTCAGTATCTATTTACATAGAACTTCTAAAATTAGTTCGGAAAAATGTTGACATGTTTGTCACTTCTTAAAATGCCTACTCGCCTAGAACCCGAGGTGGCAGCAATGTTTAATCCACAAGATTTTGCAACATCCTATGTTTGCTGGCTCCCAGTCTCTATATTCAACAGCCAAAATAAATGAAAGAAATTGAAAATATGAAGCCTCTCTCAAGAACATCAAAAATCAGTTGATTACCAAGCAGCCATAGAAGAATTTTAAACCAGGGGTGCAGAATGTTCACGATCTGGCGAGATACATCTAGGAGGTAAACGGTGTACACAGTAAAACACAGAGTATACTGCGGCAGTAGCCGAGCTGAGTTTTGTTAAAATGACTTGGACAACGTTTTTTTGTCAGATTTTTTTGACTGCGCTGACTTTTTGTCGAATTTACTTCGACTGCGCTGTGTAATAGTGCCTAGGGTTTTGCGTTCTGCTGGTGAAAGCGTACACTGATGAACTTTCTCCACCCCTGTTTTAAACTGTTATTCTATTATGACAAATAGTTGTGAGCCCTTTGACTTGTACAGTAACAATGGTTATTGTTTACATGTACCAATTTATACTCATTTAATGAAATAAATATGCCTCCTGCGAATTGTTGTACAAAAACTTTCCTGTCGTATGAGGATGTAAGATAACAGTGAATTTGGAGTTTCATTACAAACCACAGGTCAGTCAAATTTTGGAACTCACCTGGCAACAATGCATTTTTGCAGTGAAGTTAAATCAATGTCACTGCTCATACAGTGAAGAGTCTTCACATGAGGCCCAACAGCAGTTTTGAGGCGTAACTTGTGACCCTCAGAATTAAATAAAAACAGTAACATTAAGTATGATATTGGAAGATCCTGCACATCTTTAAGGCCAAGAATGTCTAAAACATTAAAAAATTTAACAGGTAATCCTTAGAAATAATGGAGATTGGAAAATGTGGTAAGACAAAACTAAGTTTGACTAATGTCAACTTCCAACTGTTTCATTTCAATTTAACTCTGATTTGTTGCAGAATATGCTGAGTTTTTACATTGTAAAGGTAAGAAGTTCACAGATTTTGATGAGGTTCGGAAAGAAATTGAAGCTGAAACAGACAGGCTCACCGGCTCTAACAAAGGCATCTCAAACATTCCTATCAATCTTCGAGTTTATTCACCTAACGGTAAGTGTCTCCATTTTTCTTAGATCTACAAATTCTTTTCTCTTCTCGAAGTCAATTTTCAGGGATAAATTATGATATTCGGCTTTCCTTTCATTTTGTACAAGTGCAATGTATTTGCAGAGGCAGTGGCATTATTCCATGCCAGGGGAGTTGAGATAACTAAATCCCTGAAGAACATTTTGGGAGAAAACGATGACTACATTCAAAAATTCCAAAATTAAGGTGTCAGACTCGATAAAGTTTTGTAAAGTTCCATCAAATTCAACTCAGAAGAAATCTGTTTTAATTGACTGTCAGTAGTCTGCCTTTCTCCTTAAATTTTAAGAGGTCCAATATGTAAAGTCCAATCTTAAAGAGCCATTTGCTATTTTTTAGGAGAAAAGGTAATTTTTTGCATATGCTTCATGGCGGCACAAATGAGGAGTTAAACTGTATATGCACAATAGGATGTTATAAAAATCATGTCGCTTTTGTTAGTGGTAAATTGAATTTACCTCACCATGCAGTGCACGCAAAAACTTATCTTCTGATGCCAAAGCCTCTTAACATAAGGAATATCTTTTCAAAGGAGTTGCGAACAGCAGCCAGTCAACTGCAAACAGTGCTGTAAGCGCGCTGCTATGATTATAATAGCGAGTTTGAGAAAACTGACCAACTCTCTTAAGCGCCTATAGTGTCCTCTACTTTTTATATTAGTGTGTTTGAATGTCATGCCGAGTTGTGCTGATTTTTTAGTCTGGAAGAAGTTATTTTGCAGGTATTTAAGTATTCTGGCAAAGCATTTGGTATAATTTAATTTTCAAAACACTGCTTAGTTCTAATTACCATTTGAAATGAATGAATTTTATGAATTTTATCTACCTAAGGTTTTGTCCGTTGCGCAAGGAAAAATTAAGGAAAAGGCAAAGTATAAGCAAGGATTACAGAAAACCCCTGATATGTGTAAACTTTGGTGAAGTAAGGAAAAATAACGAAGAGCAGGGTGTCTACCATCATTAAACATAGGAGGAACGGGATAATATTAGGAAATTCAATGTCATCAGAAAGACATTGGGACCTTCAATGTAATCAGAAAAATCGATAATGGATCAAGAAATTCTTAGTGCTTCAAGCTGAAAGTGATGGATCAGATTAAAAATGATATTTTAGTAGACACTCCGAAAAGGCAGTTAAAAAAAGAGGATTTTAGGAAATGAGACTCCAGAAAATACCCTGTCATTCCTCTGTGTTAGTCATAACACTCTAGTATATTTTTACATACAAAACGTTCAAAAACCAAATGAATTTGGTTTTGCTTAGTGCTCAACATCACGCTCATTGACTTGCCGGGGCTCACACGAGTCCCAGTTGGTGATCAACCCCAAGACATCGAGCAGCAGATCAAAGACATGCTTTTCCAGTTCATCACAAAAGAGACGTGCCTCATTCTGGCAGTCACCCCAGCCAATACTGATCTAGCTACTTCTGATGCACTGCAAATTGCGAAACAAGTAGACCCAGATGGTACTTGATTTTCATTAGGCCTTGTATAGACTCGTTGATTGTTCCCCTTTAGCTTGATGTCGTTGTTTCTGTTGCTCCAAGTATGAACACCATACATTTTATTTTTTTTTTCATTTCATTATGCACCTTATTATCTATTATTATTGGCCAATAAGTGATGTCCGAACTTCCCCACCCCTCATCCAGTTATTATTCTGAGTTCCTTTGGATAAGCGTAATGTTTTGCAGTCTCATCAATTAAAATCTCTCTGCCTGTAGGTCTACAAAAATACAGGTTTGCGTTCCTCAAAGGTTGAAGCCTGTAGCAAAGCTCTCATAGCAGGCCCTGAATAACCAGCACTCATTTCATAGTTATTTTTATCCAGATTTGCTATCCTAATTCAGTCTAAAAAACGATGAGGTATAACTATAATTCCTTTATTAAAAATTAGAAAGAATAATGTCTACAAAGGTTGGAACACTATAGAAATCAAACTCACTTATACTTGGTCTTGAAGGAAGTTATGATGTTAGATGCTTATCAAATCTAGTTTTGTCTGTGGGAATAGTTTCTGTTAGATCAGTGTTGTTTCTGTTCTTCACAATTGAATACAAACCCTGAGTTCTGAAATAAATCATTTTAGAGTGTATGATTTTTAACAGTATTTAAGTGTATATGATGGGATGTACTGCTCAAGACTTAAATCTGAAAAAAATCACTGCAGCAATCAAGAACTCAGGTTTTGTCCATGATTTTTATTTTATAACTTTATTTTCCTTTGTTCTATTTATGTTTGTGTTATTGATTTTTTATGTATGAAGAGTGGAAAATTTATGGAATATTCCTTTCAAATATCATAATAAACCTCGCTCAATTTGAGAAGCTTTTCAATGAAATGGTGATACTAATAGTGTGAGATTAGTCATCTCCGAGCCAATACGAATGTAGGAACGAATCTCTAGTTTTTAGATGCACAATAATGCCGTGCTAAGAAAGAACGCTGCATGAACATTCGAGAGTTGCCAAATTTCCTTAGATAAAATGTTTAGTTTGGAGGAAAGTTATGAATGTTTTCCTTCAAAATTTCCAGGAACTTTAGATGAAATTGCAAACTAAATTATCTGAAAAATTGGAAAGAAAACATCCTTAAATTTATAAGGAAAGAGCTTGATGCAAAAACGGCTTTTTTCGCCCCCCTCTGGAAGTTCTTCAGACTTTCTCTATTGATTACTCATATTTGAGCGCTTCTTTTCCCAAATTTTCAGACTCCCAAAAAATTTTGGGGGGGGGAGCTAGGGGGGGTGGAAGTCAAAACCTGTGAACCTCGATATCTCTTGAACAAAGAAAGATATCGAGGTCCGGTTTGGACGAAAAATCGTCTAAAATTGCATACTTTAAGATTCTAAAGGTCGAAATCCCGATATCACAGTTTTAAGTCAACATATGTGCTTTTTCCAGTTTTTAGGTCTAGAAAATTTCTTTTAAACGAAAAATTTACAAAGATCTCAATTTTTTATTTGAACCAAAACCAGTTTTTAAATTGTTCGTCTTTTTCCGCATCCAACGAGTGGTCCATTAAGCTGGGGAACCAAACGGTTCCGGAGTTATGATCGATTGAAGTTTCCGCTCAACGCGCGCCGACCGATTTTCGCGCGCAAAAAAGTCGGATTTGACTGTTATTAGATCAGATTGAATGTTGAAACTGAACAAAATGCTTTATTAGGGACTCTTGAGGGTCGCTGAGTTCAGAAATTACAGATACTTCCAAATAATTTACGTTTTTAAAATTACAGCTCCGCAGCGCTATTTTAGAGGCCCACTGAGCGCCGACCGGTCGCTCAGTGGTCCTGTCCGAAGCTGTAATTTTAAAAACGTAAATTATTTGGAAGTATCTGTAATTTCTGAACTCAGCGACCCTCAAGAGTCCCTAATAAAACATTTTGCTCAGTTTGAACATTCAATCTGACCTAATAACAGTCAAATCCGACTTTTTTGCGCGCGAAAATCGGTCGGCGCGCGTTGAGCGGAAACTTCAATCGATCATAACTCCGGAACCGTTTGGTTCCCCAGCTTAATGGACCACTCGTTGGATGCGGAAAAAGACGAACAATTTAAAAAACTGGTTTTGGTTCAAATAAAAAATTGAGATCTTTATAAATTTTTCGTTTAAAAGAAATTTTCTAGACCTAAAAACTGGAAAAAGCACATATGTTGACTTAAAACTGTGATATCGGGATTTCGACCTTTAGAATCTTTAAGTATGCAATTTTAGACGATTTTTCGTCCAAACCGGACCTCGATATCTTTCTTTGTTCAAAAGATATCGAGGTTCACAGGTTTTGACTTCCACCCCCCCTAGCTCCCCCCCAAAATGTTTTGGGAGTCTGAAAATTTGGGAAAAGAAGCGCTCAAGTATGAGTAATCAATAGACAAAGTCTGAAGAACTTTCAGAGGGGGGCGAAAAAAGCCGTTTTTGCATTAAGCTCTTTATGTTTTATCTAAGGAAACTTGGCAATGCCTGAAGATTCATATGGCGTTTTTTCTCAGCACAACAGAATACCCTAATTTATTCAGTTTAATCTTGGGTACAAATTTATGAAAATCACTTTTCAAGGTAAAAGAGTTCATGAAGTACGATAGAAGGAGAATCAAATTGAAAATCATTGTCAACCATTGAGTTTTCCACTTTTCTCTCTTATTTTACTTTCTTTCTTTTTTTTTTTTTTTTTTTTTTTTTTTTTTTTTCTCTGTCAAGCGTAGCTGTAGTTACAATTATGTGTCATTGTTTGCAGTTCTCAGCTTGACCCTTGTTGATCTCCCCGGCATGACTAAAGTACCTATAGGAGACCAGCCTCTTGATATAGAACATCAAATTCGTAGTATGATCCTTCAGTATGTCTCTAAATCAAATAGTCTTATTTTAGCTGTAACTCCTGCTAATACAGATTTAGCTAATAGTGATGCACTTAAAATAGCCAAGGAAGTGGATCCTGCAGGTTAGTACGATTGCCCTGTTGCTTCTTATTTTATACTTAAAACAATTGCACTCATAAATTATTTTATGTATATATTTGTTTGAGAAAAATTATTCCGAGAATATTCCAGATGTATCAAAAAACATAAAGCGGTAATCTTCTGGAGATCCTGTGATGGGCTGTCTTGTGAGTCGAATTGTAAATTTTTGTTGTAACAAGAGAAATCGATCAGGAAGTTATGAATACTTCACCTTTGTTGATTAGAACATAATCTTTTGCACCACGCCTACTTTTCCTAGTAGATCAGTTGGCACACGTAGTCACCGAACTTTATTTGATAATAACTTACTTTTATGTATTGCTAAGTATCTATGACCAATCAATATTATTAGAGGCATATTACCTCTTGAAAAACTCAGTGTATAATATCATTCACCAAGTTTGTACATACCATGATACTACGGGGGCATCATCAGTAGTGCAGGTGGAGTAATCAGTGAAATGTGTGTATCACTTATTGACGAGACTGAAGTGAAAGTATTCGTTTCATAAAGTAAAGCTAAGGGATGACACCACCCACTCGTTTTTCAAGAGCTTTATCATTGAAAGCAGAGATCAGATGCTTAAACAATACAAGTCTCTGACCAATCTAAAAGCTTCAACAAAGAAATCATGGGTATCTGAACAGCACAACTGATTCCGTCCTCTAATTGCAACCCTGCAAAAATAGTGTAACCCTTTCTATTCATATATGGGCTTTAATCATAATCCTTGACCTCCTGTGGTGTAGTGGTACATAGCTTTATATGGCCAGGAGGTCCTGGGTTTGATGGCTGGCCAGGTGATCTGAGTTTGATGGTCTCAGGCAATGGTCACCTAGGCTAGCTTTAGGGGGACTGGAAGATTAAGCGTGGGGAAAGCTCTAAGGGTTACTTGAAAACTTGTAAGAACTAAATAAAGAAATGAGGAATAGCATAAAATAGTTATTGAATATGATTGAATGAATTGACTTGAATGGTCGTGATTCTCAGTTATTCAACGACTGACTGCTATATAATTTTTGAGATCCATGGAGGAAAAAAATAATCCTTTGATCTTCTATGCTCTAAGCTCAGCTCATTCGATTTGAAGAACCCTGCTTGGAAAACCAAAGACTTTAGTGTCGGCTGAAGGAGGAGTATCGTTAAGCGCCTGTTCCGGCCCCACATGGATTTTGCTGAATGTTTCATATTTTTAAAGTACTATAGTAGACTCTATGCCAAATAGTTACCGAACAGAGCCCATGCAAAGGTGCAGCAGCGCTTGAAACCCAAAATCCTGGCATCGAAAAATAGTTATTTTCGTCGATTCCTTCGACTGTTATCACTCCTTCAGCAGATGATTCCTGTGTATTTTTTTGTGTACCTACTTGCCATTTCTTGCCTTCAAAAAGGCTTGCCGTGAATTTTAACGGGTCTTACGGTCCATTGTTGACACGAATGGCCCATTTCTAGGGATTTTCTCAATTTTACACACGTAGAACTCAATTTTAACCACGAACAGTGCACGTTTATGAAAAGAACGCAAAAAAATGAATAAACGACATTCAGTGAAACTTTTTTCTATGTTGCCAAATTTTCGAAAAAAAATCGTTCGGAAGAGCCGAAAATGGCCAAAATTTGATGAATTGCCACGCCTAAGGTTCAAGAAAATGGGGTACAACTTTTATATTGACGTAGGTAACAGCTCTTACCCATATATACAACATACAAAAAATTATGGTTGTACCTGGATTCCCACATGTGGAAATTGACCGAGATGTCGAGTTTAGCGGCCTTCTTTTCCTTGAAGGTTGCTCTTTTGAATGTTTTCCAACCTTAGTCATCCTCGAGTTGAGTATGTATTTCTCTACGCATTTTCCGTTTCGGACCATAAAAATAGCTTCCTATGAATTTTAGAAGGCCTAACGGTCCACTGTTACCAATTTTTAGGGTTTTTTTTTCAAGTTTACATGTGTAAACTTAATTTAATCTTAAAACCGTGTACATTTTCGGAAAGATCGTAAAAAAATACATGCATAATGTGCTTTGTAACGTTTCCCTATGTTACCTTTTCGAGAAAAATCGTCCTGAAGTGCCAAAAATGCAAAAAATTGGAATAGAAGATTTTAGGAAGTGAATTTTAAGTTTTTTTTCACTACAAATAACGTATCCAATATGGAAAATCGCAATGCGTCTCACCGAACATGGAATGGCTCAGATGAACGAGACACATCGGACCCTCAAGGTGCTTCCACCTTATCCTTCACTTCATCTCACTAGTTTATTCCTGTAACCTCAAGATAGTTCTTGGTTCTTAAGATGCCTGCTACAGGCCAAATACCAAACAACAGAAACTGTGTGGGCAAAGTGTCCCACAATGCACATGAAAGTCATAATTCATTTCCTAGAACCTTCGACGTGATGATTAATAGAATTTTTGGCATTTTTGGCACTTCAGGACGATTTTTCTCGACAATTTGGCAACGTAGGGAAAAGGTATTAAGCACATTATGCATGTATTTTTTTACAATCTTTCCGAAAATGTACATGGTTTTTAGATTAAATTAATTCAAAAAACCCCTAAAAATTGGCAACAATGGACCATTTGGCCTTCTAAAATTCATAGTAAGACATTTTTATGGTCCAAAATGAACAGTACGTAGAGAATTGCATACAGTAGACAGCACACACCAATGGAGGGTGACTAAGGTTGGAAAACATTCGAAAGAGCAACCTTCAATTAAAAGAAGGCCGCTAAACTTGACATCTCGGTCAATTTCCACATGTGGGAATCCACGTACAACTTTAATTTTTTGAAATGTTGTATATATGGGTAAGAGCTGTTACGTACGTCAGTATGAAAGTTGTACCCCACTTTCTTGAACCTTAGGCGTGGCAATTCATCAAATTTTGGCCATTTTTGGCTCTTCCGAACGATTTTTTTCGAAAATTTGGCAACATAGAAAAAAGTTTCACTGAATATCGTTTATTCATTTCTTGCGTTCTTTTCATAAACGTACTCTTTTCACAGTTAAAATTGAGTTCTACGTTTGTAAAATTGAAAAAATCCCTAGAAATGGGCCATTCATGACAACAATGGACCGTAAGGTCCCTATAAATTCATCGGAGGCCTTTAAAAAGGCAAGAAATGGAAAGTACACAAAAAATACACAGGGATCATCTGCTGAAAAAGTGATAACAGTCGAAGGAATCGACGAAAATAACTATTTTTCGATGCCAGGATTTTGGGTTTCAAGCGCTGCTGCACCTTTGCATGGGCTCTGTTCGGTAACTATTTGGCATAGAGTCTACTATAGTACTTTAAAAATATGAAACATTCAGCAAAATCCAAGTGGAGCCAGAAAAGGCCCTCAGCGATACTCCTCCTTTTGTTATTATTTGATGTAATGTTCTTCGCAACCTTTGGAACATAATCAGCTTTAAAATCTAACTTCCTATGTACCAAATTCAAGAAACGCGAGGCTGAGAAGCGGATTCTTTGGCTTTCTTTTAATCATTATTTAATGGAGATGTGGGACTGACATCATATGTGCAGGGATGCCAACACTAAGCCGCACTCTATTTGCACACAGAAGATTTTGACTCTTTTCGTCTCATCTTCTCGGTCGGCAAGGAAGCAATATCTTTCAGTGATCACCATTCAGATGTCGCAGCATTTTTAGTAGATAATGCATGGGAAAATGATGACAAATTTCTTCTTCAACCCTGCTTTTTTCAAAATGTAAACATAGGAAGTTAGATTTTTAAAGTTTAGGGGATTGTAGCAAACATCATGTAAAATAATGAAGAAATTTAGCCTACGCCAAATTCCTCGGTTTTCCATGCTGAGTCTTTTCCGAAAGAGACAGCTATTCATTGAAGATGTTAATGTCAACCTTATATATTACGAAAAAAATTGTCTGCGCCTTGTTAGTGTAGAGCTTAGTAAAATTAACTTTTAGCTGATGTATTAGAAACTGCTGCATAGTATTTTGCGTGTAATGACGTATTAGAAACTACTGCATAGTATTTTGCGTGTAATGATGTATTAGAAACTGCTGCATAGTATTTTGCGTGTAATGACATATTAGAAACTGCTGCATAGTATTTTGCGTGTAATGGCTGAAGTTTTGACTTTCTGTGACTTTGGTCTCATAGTGTCCCTTACATGAAGACTTTTGAACGGCTTATTTTTGTCACAAAGTGTCTCCTAATTGAATTTATTTCTAGAAGAATCTTAAGTAGCTTTTGACCAAAGTATGACAAAATGTCTTTATGTTCTCTGTTGGAGCAGAAATATCTTGAATTGATTTTACTAAAGTCAAACTGGTTTCTTTGTAAGTGAAGTATTCTATAGCAGACTCTGTAGGCGGATTGTTCTTGCATTGATAGCTCAAAATTTAGAGATAGAAAATTTTGCCACTGTGTTTCGCCCCGAAATTTTTAAAATGTGCTTAGGAGTGTGAAAACCAGATAGAAGTCTTGATCATAACTCCCCTGATCACAAGAATATGAAGCGAAATAACGCAAAATCGGACATTTTCCGGATTTACCGCGAGATCGCGCGGAATTCTCGAAATCATCCATATGAATCCGCGAAATCCGTAAATTTTCGTGCAATCAACGTATTTACGCATATAAGATGAAATTTGCCGCGCTTTATTTCTAAATAAAGCTGTACAGAGTTGTTTTTTAGCATTGGTAGTCATCGGCTACTAGCTATCAACGCTCTCCAATGGCTTCAAAATACTAATGGAAAAAATGGCGGTAACGGGGGCATAAACATTACCTCAAATAATATCAACATGTGATCAAGTGAAAATGTAGACAGATGTATATTGATAGAAAGTGTTTTTAAAAAAGTAAGCAACGGATATTTTTTAATCAAGAAAAACTTAATAGTCTCAAAGTGCTTCTGTAAAATAGGACTAGAGAGAGAGACTGAGTGATGGCCTGTTAAATCAAATTAATAGCTTCATTTTAAGCTGTCAAACGCAAAAAACACTACTAGAATAACGGCGAAATGAGCATAAATAACAGTGTGATTCGAGAAAAATAACAGCAAAATGTTCCAATCTTTAGCTCTAATCAATAAGGTAAAATCTGAGTCTACTAATGAATATCATGCAGCATCAATAACTAGCGTGAGCCGCGCACTACATGTCAGCTTTAAATAATATTCTCCTCATATTACTTTAACAGTGTGTGATATGAATGGCTGTATCTATTCATGTGTCAAACATTATTTTCATCCAAGCATGTTGCATGACTGTCCTATCAGGAAAAAATCATGTCATCGACATTTTCATTTTCGTCAGATTTTTTAAGACTAAGAATCCTCTCAAAATCTTAAAATTCCTTTTGTTACCCTCTAATCAGTATTTTTCTTTCTTGAATTCTACTCCTGAGAGGAAAAAGAAAAAGGAGGAGAAAATTTGCTACCACATGTTTTCATATTATGTCCTTGAACTGAACGTCTAGAATGGCCGCCAGACAGGGAACTTCCGTAACACGCATGGGCCGGTTTTTGAAGGCCGGAGAGGGGTAGGAGCCCAAGTATATCTAACCTCAATCTCCATTTCTGCCGCGTCTTGCCCTTGAGGATTACATGTGAGAATTTTCACCTTTGTAAAGTTCAATTATTTTGAGGTGTGCCTTCAAAGTTCCTATTTTTTGAGTGAAGAAGACATTGTGAGATGCGATAATGATGCCATCTTTTCATTACTATCACTTTATTCAACAATATTCGGCGAAATATGGGCAGTGTTTAAGATGGGTCTAGATGGCAGCTTGCAGTGTGAGTGCAAGTGAACCTAACCTAAATCAATTCCTAAGTGTTACGCAGTATTCGCACCAGTCAGCCATTCTAGACGTTTGGTTCATTCGTTATCTTGTGTTTAAAAATAAGATCATTCGATTGCATGTATGATCTTATTTTTGTATTTTAAACTCACACTGTGTCTGTTTGTATCAAATATCTTCTCACTGCTCATACAGGAGTATAGTCCACTAATGATAATAACACTTTACCAATTAAAGAAGGGGAAAAATCATTCTTTAGAGAATCAGTTCCGTCAGTCGGATTTTGGTTGTGTCACATTTCCTATAAAATGTCTCAGATTTCGTTTTTTAATTATTCAAAGTCCATCCATTCCTCCATATGTATTGTAATTTTAATCACTTTTTGGCAGGTGTCCGCACAATTGGTGTCATTACAAAACTTGATCTCATGGACGATGGCACTGATGCACGTGAAATTCTTGAAAACAAATTACTACCACTGCGCAGAGGTTATATTGGTGTTGTCAACAGGAGTCAGCGTGACATTGAAGGTCGCAAAGATATAAAAGCTGCGATGGCAGCTGAACGAAAATTTTTCCTAGGGTATGAATCTTTCCATGTAACACAACTCTCTTAATTCAGGTTAAGGAAAAAAAAAGAGGAGGGTGAAGAGTTGACTATCAATTTCATTTCCTATCACCAAAAACATATTCAGTAAAAGTTGAGCATAGTAGCTCTGCATTAAAGACAACAGTGAAAAAATAATTTACAAGAAGAGTATTCTTTGCTCTTACTACACCTTTTTCTGACTCGTTCTTATGGAATTAACCATTTTAATGAGCTACATAGCTCAGTAATTTTCAATTTTTTCACACTTGAAAAGTAAAGAAGGCACTTACAGTGAAAATTGGATACAATGTCCCTCTATGGATCTGCCTGATTTGGTCGTTATATCTAATTGTCGTTATAACCGATGCTCTAATACTCTGAGTCGATGGGAAGTCAATCACGGGTACGACCAGATCGCACTCAGTTATGACCGATACATCGTTATAAGTGATGTCGTTAAATCCGATTTCCTTCTTAGTTTACAGGAATTTACCCTGATTTTTGGCTGTTACATTCCAAAGTAAAAACTTCAAAATCTCTTGTTTTGTGCTCCCATTGAAAATCAGTGACAAGACAGGGCAATAATCAGGGCAGAAGCAAGCCAAACAGGCTGGATAAAACTGTTAGTACCCTCCCTGAAAAGTGGAAATCTTAGGTCCTTTCACATGAAGTTATGTTCTTCATTCCGTTTGTCAGGACAAGCACTAATGATCATTAAATTATTGGCTCTTATATTTATAGACATCCAGCTTACAGGCACATGGCAGACCGACTTGGCACGCCCTACTTGCAAAGAGTGCTAAATCAACAATTAACAAATCACATCAGGGAGACATTGCCTGGCCTACGTGATAGATTGCAGGTTCGTAGCTTCTTAATCTTGAATTACAGATCTTAGGTAATTATTATCATTTATTTTGAAATAATATGCTGATTTAAGACGAATTTTAATTTACAGAGACAGTGGCAATGGGCCTGTTGCAAGGTGCAGGGATTTGCGAATTGATAACTGATTTCAATGGCAAATTTCACAAAAAGAATGATGGCGCTACTATAAAAGCTTGAAATGACCTCTCAAACTCCAAAAAAGCTGTTTTTGGATCCGACCCATTCGAAACGGTCACTTTCATGCTGGGCCGGATCCGGCATCCTCGTTACGTCACATCGCGTGACATACCTGGTCTTTTCATCACTTACAATGTACTTTCCCATAAGGAATTGGCAGCCGCTTTTCAAATGCAAATATCGAGTCAATCGATGATTTTTTGAACAAAATGGCATTCAGAAATGGATTCCTTGGACGTTTAAATGGTTGAAATCTTCATGAGATAAATAAGAACCGTTGGAATAAACCCTATTTTTAAGGAAAACTGTAGTCAATGGGCGATTGTTTACATCTGTCACAGTGATAACAGACAAGGACGTCAGCTCAATATTTAGCCATTTTCATGAGTTTTTACTTTTTTGTCACTATTTGAAGGTAAGTTTCAATTGTAAATCAATTTTTCAGTGCCTTAGGATCATGTTAAAAGCTGTAACAGTACACATTGTCACTTATTAATTCAGAGCACACGGCAGTCCAACGCTCAAACCATGGATGTTCTCTCAATGCGTGTAAACCATTCTCAACTCTTCAACAAACATCTTAATATCATTCAGATCGTTCCCACGTCTTATACACTTATGTTACTTTAAAGTCCCGTGTGTTTTTAATGTAACACCATGAAGAAAAACGTATTGATAAGTCTGGTAACCGAAGAAGGATCCTACGCTTTTTTTCCTTGCCTCCATCTAAAACATACCGGTCTCCTCATCTCATCAGTATTGTCAAAGGTAAGTTTTTTTTATCATCAATGATTGATACTATCATGTTTGTGTCTTCAGTGAAACATTGAAGGGTGAAATATTAAGAAATAACAATTTACTCGCTACATCCAGGTTTGAGCGTTGGACTGCCGGAGTGTGTTCTGAATTATTAAGTGATAATGTGTACCGTTACAGCTTTTAACATGATCCTAAGGCACTGAAAAATTGATTTACAATAGAAACTTACCTTCAAATAGTGACAAAAAAGTAAAAACTCATGAAAATGGCTAAATATTGAGCTGACGTCCTTGTCTGTTATCACTGTGACAGATGTAAACAATCGCCCATTGACTACAGTCTTCCTTAAAAATAGGGTTTATCCCAACGGTTCTTATTTATCTCGTGAAAGTTTCAATCATATAAACGTCGAAGGAATCCATTTCTGAATACCATTTTGTTCAAAAAATCATCGATTGACTCGATGCTCGCATTTGAAAAGCGGCTGCTAATTCCGTATGGGAAAATACATTGTGAGTGATGAAAAGACCAGGTATGTCACGCGATGTGATGTAACGAGGGTGCCGGATCTGGCCCCGCGTAAAAGTGACCATTTTAAAAATTCGGACTTTGAGGCGTTTTCAAGTTGATTTTTTGGGGGTTTCTGGTGATCAAGAAACTCCGGAAAAATTCCTGTGACATTAGGAGCCTTAGTTCTTTTGATTATAGCAATAAAAAAAAATAGTGCAACAGGCCCATTGAAGATTAGGAGTGATGAAATTATCAAGTAAAGAGACAGCCTACATGATTGGAAAGGGAGAACAAAATAGAGAAAGGAACAAGAACCGAAGAGATTTACTTCAAGTCAAGTCCTGATGACTTATTTCTGTTACCACTAAATTAGATAAAACGTAACCGAAAATTCCTAAATTATGCTCATACACGATACACCTTTAGAGTTACTACTTTGCAATAAAAAACGAAGAAAACTCAGGAAATAGAATTGTGTTGAAAAAGTCTGGAATTTTTGGATGATATCAAAGCCCCCGAGGAAAGTAGGCAATCAGAGTAGCCTCATTCAAATTTGGAAAAATTGTTAGGAGTCCTCGGCAAAGCAGAATTGAGAGAATCATGTTACGTGCCTCCGTCAACTGGTACTGTTCGCAATTAAGTGTCTTCCTTTTGTTTTGTGATCTGTTTTGGTCTAAGGCTGATAGCATTGTTCCCTCCACATCAAAATCGCAGCTTGTGGACAGGCAGGTTCCTTGTCTATTTTTAAATGAATTTGCTTCCACTTACGATTTTCGACTGTTTGTCAAAGTATTCAAAAGTTGGTTCAAAAGTTGGAATACACTGACAAACAGTTGAATATTGTAAGTAATTCTGGAGTGAGGGGATACAAATTCATCTAAAAATAAATGAGAAGGTAAACATATGCACAATTTATTAGGGGAAGAAATAGGATAAAATAAGAAATGAATCGAACTTACCTATTTATTGACTGTAATCTTGCAGATCTCATATTATGTTATTTAGCTCAATTTTATCCCTGGAGTCCTCTGATGAGATGAATTTGAATCTTGTTTTTGCATTCAGTTATGAGGCACTATCTTTTCTAAAGAAAAAACAAGCTGCCTTGTCTCTTTTGGTTGTCCCATCATTTTGACATTGACATTCTTGTATGCCCTAGAGTGGATTTGCGGAAGCCTCCAGTGCTTTGAGGCTCTGTGCATCATTTTACCTCTATACCTGTAAGGCATTTTGGTAATGGAATTCTCAAAAAACGTATCTTGATTAAGGTGTTTAAAAATCTCGGCTCCCTTCTTATTTTTTGATGGGGAACAAATCAACTTTATTTCCTGAAGTTTTCACAGAATTTTCTCAGCACAGAGGAGGAAAATCATAGAAGTTTTAAAAAATTGACCTCAAGTAGTTTTTAATTTAAACAATAAAGTATGACAGGAAGTCTGCAACGTTTCAAACCAAGATACAGAGAAACCCCAACCCGCTGGTTTTGGGAGTTTCGTCGTTGATATGAAAATATCAAGTTCAAGTAATGTATGGGTATTGCTAATGACGGCTGAATCCGCTTCGAAGCTCATTGTTTGTACAAAATGCATAATTTGACAACTATTGGTGGGGCAAAAGATGTATGTATCATTTATACATCACTGAAGTTTTTAGAATAATATGAAAAAAAAAAAAAAAACGAGCAAAAAAGAGAGGAAACCAAGCATGTCTCTCGCTTTCATAAATTATATTATTTTATTAGCGAAAGATCAACAATATCTATTTAATAGTTATGGCTGCCAGTTGTGGGGCTGTGCAGCCAAGTCAAATTTAAAAAAGATAGAAGTCATACATGTTGAGGCCGGTTTGGAGTTATGGCTGCCAGTTGTGGGGCTGTGCAGCCAAGTCAAATTTAAAAAAGATAGAAGTCATACAAATGAAAATATTACGAAGCATTTCAAAAGCCAGATGGTATGAGAGGAACGCGGATATTCGCGCCGACCTCAACATTGATTCTGTAGAGGACTACATAACAAAAATGTACAACTCTTACGAAACTAGGCTGCATAGGCATCCCAACCCAGAAGCGCTTGCGCTTCTGGAAAAGGACCAATGCACCCGAAGATTAAAACGTCGCAAACCCCACGAGCTTGGAATTCAGGGGTTCTCAAAATTATCCTTCTTTTAAACTGACGGGCCTCCTTGTGCTCTTCGAACGCAATCAGGGGCTCTTGGGCATTTGACCGGGTTCGGTCACCCGCATTCCATGTCAAAGCAAAAAGACATTTTTACTTTGAAGCAAAATTGTTTTATTTTTCCCTCCTCATTTTTCAGAGGTTGTATTTCTCTCCATATAAATTAAAAAAAATGTGTGTAACCTAGTATAAGTTTATCTTATAAGTTAAACCCAAGTTTTTTAAAGATGTATCTTACATCTAAAAACATTCTGTACATATTATAACTTTTGTACAAATAATAAAAAAAATAAAAAAAAAAAAAAATCTATTTAATAGGCCCATAATAATCATCTATGTATATCAAATGTTTTAATAATATTTCCATCAAGTTTCAGTAAGATGTAAGTTCCAAGCAAACACAATATGTTACTTGTTTGATTTCAGAAACAAATGCTTACTTTAGAGAAAGAAGTCGACCAGTTCAAACATTTCCGGCCAGATGACCCATCTATCAAAACAAAAGCAATGCTTCAGTAAGTACTCAGTCTGCTGTGACTCAATTTGTAGTGTCAATATTTTAGGCACCCCTCCGTGTCATTAAAGTTTTTGGATCCTTCCTCTCTTTAAATGTTATGTTACAAGCTTCAATACCTAAGGTTTTAACGGTGTATCACAGAACCTATACAGAGCATTGTAATTTCTGTGCTGCTCTCTGATTGGTTAATCAGTTTTTTCAGCCGTTTATGGGACTCTTAGCGACCCATATAAACAAACAAGATCTAGAGGAATGTGTATGCGCAGACTGCTTTGCAGAAGTATCAATCCTAATAAAATTAATTTACAAAACGGCAATGCAAATATTCTTATAATCTGAAGTGTATATATTTCTCTCTTTTTTCTTTCATCAGTCCCTAAAAAAAAAGCCTTATGAAAGGCTTGAAACTGGTGAACCAATCAGAGATTTTCTGTACTAAAAGGATTGATACAGAATACGAGGTACTCTAGGCAATGCTCTCCCTGCATTGGTACCCAGCATGTTACCATTCAAGCTGAGTTAAAGTTTTTCACATTTTTGTGTAGATTTGATCATGTTTTTTGATTAGATGACAGTGAGCAGTGAACGTTTATCAACGGACGTTAAATGAAAAAGTATGATTAAATGGCAGCTTGTTTTGATGTGATCATCATCCGTTTCTGTTCAAATAAAGGAACACTATTTCCATCAGATCTTGGCTATGATTTTGGTTAGATCTTGGTTGGTTTTGTTTTTTTAATTAGTAGAATAAGTGATAAGAAAAAAATTATAGAGAATTCAATTTTCTTGACATTCATTATTCAACTTGGAACACTTTGAAACCCGTCACTCTAATTTTTAGATTTTTTCTCCTTGTGCAAGTTTAAGATATGATGTCTTTAATGATGTACTTTTCGTTTGGGCTGTCAGCTGGTTAAGAGCCTTTAACAAGTAAAATAGGCCCAAAATTGATGAAATGACAATTTTTTCGTGTTCATGAAATTATCTCAAAAACAGTTGCTTCTATCTCAAATTTTTGTTTTCTCTTTTTTTACTACTACTAAATATGTCTTTTGTTCCTCCTCTTCTCTGCATCTTTATCTATCAATAAGTATACGTGGCTTATATGAATAGAATTTTTATCCTATTCTTCCAACCTCATATTTAAGGTGCTGCCAATATTCAGGCACCTGTGGTATTTTAAAATACAACTTTAATTTAGACTATTAGCGGCTCTGGTGCTAGCACCTAGAGCTGCTATTCCGGTCGGTCTCTGCAGTGGATGTTACCAATGGTACATCTACTGTTGGTTAGAGCGCGCGTTGGTAGATGGGAATCGTCGTCATTTTCGGCTGTGGACCTTGCCATGATTTTATTTTAATTCATTGTTTTTTCTTGTTAGCAAATGATATGTGTGTAGTGTATTTTTGGAATCATGGTGATACTATCGATAACTCAAAGCTGGTCTGTGCTTTAATCTCGTATTGAAAAAAATGTACTTAACGTTTAAAATCTGAATTTTCAAAACGACAAGTTTTCGCGCTTTTTTGGAAGAATGCCGTGGTTGGAGCCTCCTAGTCGTACTACTTCATGGACGAATTCGTCTTTAGCGGCGTTGTTGTGTATTAATGCCTAAAATGCTAAGTCTGCTCCTGTTCGCTCAATTTTCGTGAAACTCTGTATCCGGAGATATTTTTCAACGAGAAACTCGAATTTTTGGTCAGATTTTCAAAATTTCAAAATCCAAGATGGCGGCCGTGGCCTAAAATGCTGAGTCTGCTCCTGTTCGCTCAATTTTCGTGAAACTCGGTATCCGGATGTATTTTTCAACGGGAAACTCGAATTTTCGGTCAGATTTTCAAAATTTCAAAATCCAAGATGGCGGCCGTAGCCTAAAATGCTGTCTGCTGATTGTGGATGAGGACAAAGATAGCATATTTGCCACAATTCACCATACTTTATTAAAAAAATAAATTCGTTCTTTTAAAAGTTAATAGCTATGAGGGGCGGCTCGCGGAACGAGTCGCAAGTTCATCGCGAAGGGAGGAACTGGGGGTCCAGGGGCACTCCCTCGCACAGCGAGCTTAACACGGCTAGTAGTTTATATATGTCTTAGATATGAGCGGCCCAGAGCCGCTCTCCAGCGGCAATGCGCTGGAGTTACTGCTTGTTTTATATCTCCCAATACCAAGAAATGCCTACTTTAATTTTTTATTGCAAATTTGTAATTCTTTCAATCATAAAAATACCAAAATACTACACTCTGACTAATGACAACTTCTATTTTGCTACCCAGGATGATCCAACAGCTTCAAGGTGATTTTGAAAGAACGATAGAAGGTTCAGGCTCAGCGCAAATTAATACAATGGAACTGTCTGGTGGTGCTAAAATTAACAGGTTATTCCATGAAAGGTTCCCATTCGAAATAGTAAAAATGGAATTTGACGAGAAAGAGTTGCGGCGAGAAATCGCATTTGCAATTAGAAATATTCATGGTGAGTTTTATCTCTGAACTCTTTCATCAGCCAGGAATGGACCATTAGACGAGGTACAAAAGGACTACGAGCAAAACGGGTCATTTGGGGCTCGGGGCGGATACCTTTGAGACTTGCCCTATTCATTCACCTATCAATGCCCCATCTTTTCCCAAAGTTAAAGCCCCGAAAAAATTTTGGGGAGACGCGGCAGGGGGGTCAAAGTTAAAAACCGGCAAAATTTTCGCGAATTTATTACTCGAAAACCAAGAAGTTTTGGAAAACGCGGTTTCAGCGAGCGTATTCGGCGTGACAAGAGCTTTCAGAAAATGTATAACATCATAGGGTTTTGTCAACTCCAGCTCGAGTTATCGCCTCCGAAGCGCCGGAACGCTCAAAAAAGACCCCTTATTTTTTCACGTTTGGGCCGATTTAAAAAAAAAAGTCATTTTTTTATTTTGACGAAAAACTGATATGTTGTTCCTGACTCTCTGTAGCCCCTCTAACTCTTTACCGCATGCTGGGGAAATGCTTTGGTCGCGAGTTATATGAGCGGAAAGGAGCGAAGGTCGAGAAAATCGGATATTTTAAACTGCGCGCGGCGACGGATCCGGAGACATGTGGCAACAATGCGAGGTCGGCTGAGGAGCGTGATTCGTAGAACTGAGTGGGAGGGGACGTTTTACTTCCGATCAACGCCGCGCGCACAGTTTAAAATAGCCGATTTTCCCGACCTTCGCTCCTTTCCGCTCATATAACTCGCGACCAAAGCATTTCCCCAGCATGCGGTAAAGAGTTAGAGGGGCTACAGAGAGTCAGGAACAACATATCAGTTTTTCGTCAAAATAAAAAAATGACTTTTTTTTTTAAATCGGCCCAAACGTGAAAAAATAAGGGGTCTTTTTTGAGCGTTCCGGCGCTTCGGAGGCGATAACTCGAGCTGGAGTTGACAAAACCCTATGATGTTATACATTTTCTGAAAGCTCTTGTCACGCCGAATACGCTCGCTTAAACCGCGTTTTCCAAAACTTCTTGGTTTTCGAGTAATAAATTCGCGAAAATTTTGCCGGTTTTTAACTTTGACCCCCTGCCGCGTCTCCCCAAAATTTTTGGGGGGCTTTAACTTTGGGAAAAGATGGGGCATTGTTAGGTGAATGAATAGAGCAAGTCTCAAAGGTATCCGCCCCGAGCCCCAAATGGCCCGTTTTGCGCATAGTCCTCAAGCATTCTGATACATGCTTCTTAACCAGAATTTCACATAGAACACAATTCGCGCAATGAAAATTACTGAAATTAATTCCTAACTGAGATATTTAATTTTTCTTGATGCGTGAATACAAACCTCCCACTCATGAAAACTCAATGGTCTGAGTGAGTCAAATGGCACACTAAACGTTACCATGGCAGTCTCTACAATACAAAAATATAAGAGTCTCAATCATGATGCTTTAGCTCAGCTATAGCAAATTGTTTATACTTTGAACAATAAAGTTCAGAAAAGGAACAGTGCTCTATTGAGAAGCCTGCCAAAACCATTGTAAGGCGCAATTTGACTCGCGTAGAGTATTGAGTTTCTTGTGACCGGGCAATTCAAATTTCCTGTAACCAATGTAAACTTAAAACTTTAATATATTAGTTAGGAGTTAATTTCAGTAATTTTTGATGCAAGAATCATGTTCTACATGAAACGGTTTAAAAACATGTATGAGAGTGCTTAAATTCGTACCTTGTTTAGTAGTCCATTGTCTGTATTGTTGCTGTGGTTGTTAAAAGCAGCCAAACTTGAGACAAAAGAGATGGTTTATTACTACACTTATGTAATGCTGCCTATGAAACTGTACAGAACCAATTGTTGAATGTTAGTGAAAATCATCCATCTTTTCCTGCTATTTTATGGAGAATTGACCAAAGAATCGCCTAAGAAGGTTGCCCAAATATAGGTATTTAGCAAAGTGCGGGAAGCAATTAAATGTGCTCTTTTTACTCTTTCTCTACCTTTTTTTGAGGATGTTCAGAAGGATGGTTTGGAGGGTTGATGATGTACTGAAAGTGTCATGGATGAATCCAGAAAGGAGTGACAGAAGAAAGCGCCTTTTGTTGCCTGTCTTCTCAGGTTATAGGTCTAAATTTTTTGTGATTAATCAAAGGGATCTTGGAAACCTTCAAGGAATGACTTTGGAAATACAGAGGTGAGCACTTCCTCTGCAATTCCTTGTTTTCCACTTGAAAGCAAATCGAAAATATCCATTCTGTAGAGCTTTACTCAAAAACATATATGAAAAACTTAATCCATCCCTTCTATGAATCAAATGTCAGTTGCCCACATGAATGGGAGGAAGCAACAACACAAGTTTCTCGACTAAATATTGTTGAAAGAAAAGAAAGTCATCTGTTTTGTTGCAAAATCTGGAAAGGTCAAGAGTGTCAACAACACAACAACAACAACAACACACACACACAGAGACACGGCAGCACACAACAGAGCTACTACACGAGTTTCTCAACTAAATATTGTTGAAAGGAAAAGTAAGTCATCTGTTTTGTTCCAAAATCTAAAAAGGTCAAGAGTGTCTCAAACTATATGTTTCAATCACTCGAGACCAACTAAGCTCAAACCCAAAATATGTCTGCCCTTTTGAAAGGTTGAAACTTTGCAACTGAATGCCTCTTCGTTTTTAACAGCTTTCACTAAGGATCAACCACTTATAGAACTTCAATTATAATTATCTCACACCAGAAGTATCAGTCATGTGCTTGAGTTCATGTAGAAAGAATTGTAAACGTGCTCTGCGCCTAACCTCTGTAAGTTTAATACGTTTTTCATTATCTTGCAGGTATCCGAGTTGGTCTGTTTACTCCAGATATGGCATTTGAAGCTATTGTCAAAAAACAAATTAACCGATTAAAAGAACCTAGTCTGAAATGTGTGGATCTTGTTGTAATGGAATTGTGCAATGTTGTCCGAATTTGCACTGATAAGGTAAAATAACCCTCTCGCCAAAATAACTCACTAATGTTTGCTCTTAATTTGAAAATTGCGAATAACCGCAATCATGTGTAGATGTTGTTCCTGTTTTGACATCTTCCTTGCAAATTACATAGTGAGCTCTCATAAGTGCCCTATATTTCAGATGTGTCAGCTCATGGAAAAGCTATAAATTACCTCTTTCATTAGTTCAACGATTACTTTTATCCCTTATTAATATCTACTGTTAAAAAATCAGGGAACTTCACAAAATTATCCGGCTGGTAGATAAGGTGGCAGGAATCATTTTGAAACAGGCATGACGATATTAAACGTCCAAAAATCCAGTTTATTTTACGCATAAATTCAAGTCTTAAGGTCATTAAAAAACCATGATCTACCAGAGTTGAATCGGGTCCTAAATGGTCTCTCTGGTATGAAAATATGGCAACTACAATCTCTGCACTTTGGCTCAGTTGTTGCACATGGTTTACACTTTGAACAGCACAGAGTAGGGAAGGGCTGTTCGATCAAGTAACCTGCTGAAACCAATGTAGTGGGTGATGTGATTCACATAGACCCTTGTTTTTCTTGTGAGTGGGGTATTCAAATTTTATCCTGAACAAAAATGTAATATTTTGGTGCAGAGTTATTTTCAGTAATTTTCATCATGCAAATTGTATTCTTCAACAGTAAGTGAATTTTAGTGTATTTTCTGAAGGAAATACACTATTGCATTCTCCCCTGATGTCAGACCTGGACGAAAGACCCTGCAATGAGCATTGATCATAGGTTGTAGATTACGAATATGCATGCTGTTTGAATTCATGTTTTTATTTATATATATATAAGTAAAGAGTTCACGGTTGTAATAATTAATAATTAAACAAAAATCACGAGTACTTTCCAACCTTTTTATTACATTTTGCAATCTTCACACTACATTTTAAACACCGACGTTTCGGAGACAATTTTCTCCATCTTCAGGGCAGACGAACTTTATTCATAACTGAACAAGGAAAAAACACAGAAACCCAGTCCAGTCGCAGCAAGAGACCAGTTTAACGATAACAGGAGACATGACAAACATCAACACAAACAATAACAATAAGCCCCCGCCGCAGAGAGGTAGTAGGTACTCATACAGAATGAAAGTTTTCAGAGATTAGAAAAATATTCCTCAAAGTGAGCAAACTCAGTCCTAGAATTTATAGCATTTTGGTTATTTAAAATACATAACCCCTCCAAATTCAACCTAATCTGTTCATTCTTCTCTCTCTTCAACACCCTGGTGTTATTGAAATCAAAGGAATGACCCTTTTCTTTCATGTGTTGCTTTAGCGCTGTCACCTCATGTTGATTAAACTTATGCCCATCCAGCCTTTTATGCAGATATTGGGATGACTGCCCTATATAGACGCCTTGACAATCTCCACACGGTATCTCATACACCACTCCTGACAGCTTTTCAGTTGGGATTTTTGACTTCAAACAAGACTGGAAATTTTGTAAATTTGATTTATTAGAAGTGACTAAAGTGTAGCCATGCGGCTTTAACACGGATCTAATCTTTTCTGAGCAGGAGGAAACGTACGGACATACAACAAATTCGGTTTTTTCGAACAATTTTGGAGGGGGAAAGCCATTATAACAAAATTTCACTACATTCTCAAATATAGAGTTGACAAGGTGCTTGGGATAACAATTTTCAAATAACAATTTTTTAGCTTCCCTTATTTTTTCTTTGCGGAGCATGGGATGAGTAAGTAGGCATACGCGTGTTGCCAAATTCTTAATTACATTGATTTTTTGAGTGAGAGGTTGTGCAGACAAAAAATTCAGATATCTGCCCGAGAAAGTAGGTTTTGTAAACCACGATGTAACAAATTTACTCCCTTGTTTTATAACAAGAACATCCAGAAAAGCTATGGCATTATTGGCTTCATATTCAATTGAGAATTTAATGTTACTCGAAAACATGTTGAAGAATTGGTAAATACTATTGAGATCGTCCTTATGACAACATAGAATTATGTCATCCGCAAAGCGCCTATAAAATAACATTTCATACGGAAAAACTTCAAACATTTTTTCTTCAAAATATTCCATAACCAAGTTGGCAACACTGGCACTCACCTACTACCTCTCTGCGGCGGGGGCTTATTGTTATTGTTTGTGTTGATGTTTGTCATGTCTCCTGTTATCGTTAAACTGGTCTCTTGCTGCGACTGGACTGGGTTTCTGTGTTTTTTCCTTGTTCAGTTATGAATAAAGTTCGTCTGCCCTGAAGATGGAGAAAATTGTCTCCGAAACGTCGGTGTTTAAAATGTAGTGTGAAGATTGCAAAATGTAATAAAAAGGTTGGAAAGTACTCGTGATTTTTGTTTAATTATATATGTATATATTCTAAGTTATAATTCTAACCTATATATATATATGTTTATTTATGTATGTATTTCCGACTCATTGTGGTTTTTCCGATTTTTGCTGGGTTATATTTCCCTCATTTTAAAAAATTTCCGGGTGAAACTTTTTTCGATGTAAAGTAGAGGAACAGGACTACCATTCTGCGAAAAAAAACGGAGATCGAAGTATTACATTTCGAATGGTGGGGGCGAGAAGTGGGGGGAGGTTCAATTTTGTGGGCGCGATAACTCGCGCAAATGGAAAGCTTTCCCCCCGAAATTTTTACGGAAGGAAGATCTTACTTAGTTCTAAGCTGGTATTGAATTTGAGCAAAATCGGTCGAGCCGTTTAAACATGGCGAGCTTTGAAAGTTTAGGCGGGGGTGTGCGGCAAAAGAGGAGGGAAGTCACACAGTGGGTCACGACCAGAAAATTGGTGGACAAGACGGCAATGTTGTCGCACAGTGGGTCATGAACTGAAAATTGGTGGACAAGACGGCAATGTTGTCGCACAGTGGGTCATGAACTGAAAATTGGTGGATAAGACGGCAATGTTGTCGTACAATGGGCACGAACTGATAATTGGTGGACATGATGGCTATATTGTCGCACAGTGGGTTACAGACTGATAATTGGTGGACAAGACTGCAATGTTGTCGCACAGTGGGTTATGGAGATTCATCCATCGTCATTCAAGCTTTTTTATATCAGACATTACATGAGGATTGTTGTTGCAATCTGGCGACATGAAGTCCTTTTCCGAATAATCAATGCCTCCAACAGTGTAAATGTAAATCCAACCTCCAAAGATTGATAACTCTCTGCCCCCGCCCCTCTCCTCGGAAAATACACTCTTCCCGCGGTGGACGCGCGGGTCACTTTAAAGACAGAACAACTGAGGCCGGACACTCAAATTAAAAAAAAAAATTCACTAAAAACGCGCGCGAGTCGCGCGTCCCGGGGGGGCTGGGGGGGGGGGGNACCGGCGCGGAGCGAAGCGGAGCGCCGGTTTTTTTAAATTCGTACCTTGCTTAGTGGTCCACTAGTTTGACATACCTCTCAGAACAGAATCTTTATTTATTCTAGAACAATGATTTTTATCCATCTAATTTAAATTTTAAACTTAAACAAGTAATTCAAGTATTTTTCTGTGCTTCATTTCTTTGTTAGATGGCCAGGTATCCAAGACTACGAGAAGAGACGGAGCGGATAATAACGTCGCACATTCGTGAAAGAGAGCAAATGTGCAAGGAACAATTAATATTACTAATTGATTGTGAGCTAGCATACATGAATACCAACCATGAAGATTTCATTGGATTTGCAAAGTAAGTCAGAATCACATCTTTCTAAAGATCATTTGCTTGAATTTAATACTGGAATTTTCAAAGACAACATGTTAAGGTTATCAGTCGTTGATTTTGGAGTGGTTGGTTTTGAACATTTAAAAATGAACCCATCCTTGGGATGATGATGATTGGCTGTAATTTTTTTCTTCTTCTTTTACTCTGAATGTCTGATATGAAATGTTGGTTGTTGCAAGAATTCTGGACAGAGGGTACTCACATTTAAATGTAGAATGAAATATCCTCCACTATTTTTTGTTAGAAGCTCCGTTGAAATAATAGGTATGATCCACTAGATATGAGTACCTGTTTAAACAAATTGCATCTAATTTTGTATCCTCAACCACGTGATTTTATAATAAATGTGCCAGCATTTTCTCGGAGAAGTGCTTTTCTTCTAACCTTAAAATGACACAATTTTGTCAAGATTGCATTGCCATTCGTGCTTCAAAAACTCTGTTTTTGTGATTACTGCTTGTGACCCTCTGCATTTTGTTTTGCCTTGTGACTGATGCTTGAAAAGCTCTAATATTCAGAAAATATCACCCGCGTATCACACCCATAATTTAGTGCTATGAGACAAGCGTCAGAAAGTGAACACTTTGGAAAGCTTCAGACATTTTTAGTTAATGTTTTGCGGTGGAGGTATCGAGGTGCTGAATTGAGGGATTGATCCTGTTGTAGTTTGTAATTGTTGATTTTCACTTTTTCCCAAAAATTCTACGCAGGAGGTAAATATTCTCCATCTGAATGGTCAAACATTTTTCATGGAAAATTGAGGTCAAATTAAGTAGCAAAAACTGCAAAATGCCAGTGTAATAGGGCAGTCCTTTGTGCAATCTTCAAGAGTTTCCAAAGTTTAGTCACTTCGACTTAACTTCGCTTTACTTTACTTACTTTTATAACTATTTACATTGAATAGCGGTAAAAATTTCTATTCTTCAAACGATTAAGAACTTTTGACCCAAGAATCAATTTAATTAATTTAAAATTTGGCTTTAAATTTTGTTGAATTGCTGGGGAAGCAATAGCAAACAATTAGCACCATGACTCTTTAAATAGTCACTGACCTCTCTTTATTTCAAAAGTTAGGAAATTCTGGCAATTTTAATACGCTATGAACCCTTTGATGACTAACCGTTTTTACCTACATGAACACCTAACCGGGGCCTGCGAGGCCCGTATTGAGAATATTATGAGTGGCAGTAGCCACATCCGGACAAGTTACCTATCCTCCAACAATTGACAAGACAGCACAGCTCGGTTGTAGCACCGACACCATAACTATACGAGCTCGGCAGTCACAAGAAGCACCTAATACTAGCTCGTAGTAACTCGGAGATCGTCAAAAAGTAAAACTAGATAAAACGTAATGATTGCAGTAGTAAGATGACGTATGCAAGGACAATATACACAAGCAGGAAAATTTTTAAGGAAAACATAACCTAAAATGAATTACTGGAGGTCAAGAAAATCAGACTTATTTTTTACTTATTATTCTTATAATTTTAGGTGCTTCTTGTGATACTGATAATATGCTAAAGCCTTCATAGCTCTTAGACAGTGTACTACCTCTATGACCCCTTCTTAGCTAAAACAATTACAGCAAGACTTCAGAAACTTCATTAGAAACTTCACAAAAAATTTTGTCTGACGTTCATCTCATTATTCACCGTAATATCCACAATTTGCTCTAACTTTTCAAAAATTTGATATAATGTAGAAGTATTCAATAAATAACAACAATAAATTTTAGACTTCGTACTTATTTTTTTGGCTACCGGAAGGAGAGGGAGGGGGTAGGGGTGGGTAAGGTTGTTTGCCTCTTCCTCTCTCTCAAATTCAAGCATATACGTTTAGGAGTAATAATGCTTCTTCGATATAACTTCCTCAAATTCTCAAAAAAGATATAAAAATGTGTTCATAATGAGAGGCTCCTAGATTAGAGGGGACTGAGAAGAGGAGGGGGAGGAAAGAGAATTTGGGGCCTCTGTTATCGAAGACGAAGTATGAAAATCATTAAATTTTTCAAAAAAACAGAAGAAAAAGCATCGCAGCTATCAAATAACCACATATTCTCAATACGGGCCTCGCAGGCTCCTGTTAGTCATTCTAGGGGCAGACATGAAAAAAAAATCGCTGTGCCTAAAAAAAATTTGTTTGAACAGCATTTTTACTGTATGAGATTGTTGATTTTTCTAGAATGTAACTCATTTTTCTTTTTTCGGTCCTGATATTGTCTTAAATGTAATTCTGTTAGATGAAGATAATTTTGAATGCTTATAAGCCCTTTATCTTCAGATCAATAGGAATCAAAATCACTATTTTGTTAAATGAAATACGTTATTTAAACATTAACACTTTTTTTCAAAACACTACAAATTCCAAAACTCGTGCACAGGTCAGGTAGATAACAGCGACTGGGGAATTGACAGGAGTGCCACCTCACTTTCCACTTGGGTGTTGAGAAACTTACCAGATGGTTTTCTTTTTAGTCGTGCGGCAAAGCCGTATCGACTCTAGGTTTCGCCGGAGGCTAAAAAGTGTCCACACTTTTAGGCTAAGTCCAAGAGGAGAATTTTCGAGGAACCAAGTAACATATGAGGTATTGATATCGGTGCATTTTGGCCCAATGGAGATGTTACATGTGCGAGGAATTTGCAATTTGACTGTTGATTCTTGTATAAAAGTTCGCGAGGAACACAATGGTGCCACTGGTTTTCTCTGGAATCATCTTCCATGCTCAAAAAAACCTCTCAAGGTGAGGCCAAAATGGAGGGGATATCCCACTCTACCCTGAGAGTCCACGTCTACATGAACACAAACTCTCCATGCAAAGATAGGGAGCAAATACATTAGCAGGGTTGCCGTGTATTCAGTTTTGGAGTCCCCAGATAAATTGGTAGCCCTGTCAAAGTATTAGCTCCCTATCTTTGCATGGAGAATAGGTCTTGATCTAGATTTTGACTCTCAGGGTAGGGTGGGATATTTCCTCCATTTTGGCCTTAACTTGAGTGCTTTTTTTGAGCTTGGGAGATGATTTCAGAGAAAACCAGTGGCACCATCGTGTTTCTCGTGACTTTACACAAGATTCAACAGTCAAATCGCAAATTCCTCACACATGCAACATCTCCATTATGCCAAATGGAATTTCTAATCATTTAGCCATGGTTTGGTAGCGTTTAGCAATCAACTGTGACCATAATGTAAAGAACCCACACAGGTGCCTTTCGGCGGAATGTCGCCCTATGGCATTCTTTATCATCGAGTCACAGTTTAATAGCGTAAATAAGCAACCAACGGTGGCCAAAATGTCAAGACTCCAAACTGGTGCTTTTTGGCTGAATTTCGCCCAATAGGATCTTTGATGATTTATCAGTAATGGTTGGTGTTTATGTTGATTAATTATTACTGTCTGAAAGTGAATCCTGTGGGAGAATATTATAGGGTTGGTTCAAACAAGTTTTAGAATTTTTTTCCTTAGCGCTAATGGACCCTAAGGGACAACTTCAATTCATCGAACTAAAAGTTTTCAATGTTCATAACCATTTTTTAACGGTCGGAACTCACTAGACCACATTATGTTCATGATGAATTAGAAGAATATCGCTGTCAAAAGTTGAGTTCTCCTTCAATTTAGCACTTTTTGTCATTACCTTAAAGACCATACGGAAAGTGCTAAATCTACGGAAAACTCAACTTTTCACAGCGATATTCTTCAAATTTTTCATGAATATAATGTGGTCTAGTGAGTTCTGACATTTAAAAATGGGTATGAACATTTAAGGCTTTATTTTCCTTGAATTTAAGTGGTTTCTCAGGGTCTACGGTAAGAAAAAAAGTCTAAAACATGTTAAAAGTTACTTGAACCTACCCTATAATGTTGAGCTATGACTTCAACTTTCATGAACCCTTAATTGTGCCTTTCAGCTTGATTTCGCTAAATGGAATTATTTATGATTTAAGTCGTGGTTGAGTTTACTATGCTGATAAAATATCATTGGAAAATTTAGGTTTCACCATCATAGTCTTCTACGAGGGCTGTCCCAAAAGAAACCGGACTTTTGTCATAGAAGGCGAACAGAGCGTCGTAATGAAGTTTTCTTGGGCTTGTTTGAAAGCTGATAAGCTACTGAAGATGCTTGTTTTTACAGAATGCAAACATTGGTCTTGGTAAGGAAACTACACGCTTTGGAATAAAGGAAAGTCAAACTCGAGTTGCGATTTTTGTCTTTATTTCAAGAAAAATTTAGATACAACTCTAAAAAAAACCCAGGTTTTAAGTTAAAAACTTCGTTGCAATCTTATTCAAATGCTTAAAAATAAGGAAATCAACATTTTAAGCAGCTTACCAAGTCATCACCTATCCCCTTCAAAATATTCGCCAGCTTTGTCGATGCATTTTTGCCACCGTTTCTTCAATCGGGAGAAACACTGTTGAAAATCCGCAGGTTTGAATGATCGCAATTCCTTCAAGGTGAAACTGTCAACCGAGAATATTACAATGGTGTTCTGAGACGATTACGCGAAAATGTCCGCAGAAAAAGGCCCGAGCTTTGGAGAGAGAATTCCTGGTTTCTGCATCACGATAATGCACCTGCCCAAGCATCCCTCCAAATTCGTGAATTTTGTGCAAAGAATGCCATGAGTGTCCTCCCTCATCCCCTCTATTTACCTGACCTGGCTCCGTGTGATTTTTTCTTCACGACTTAAATCTACCTTGAAAGGTCTACGTTTTCAAACCATTCCGGAAATTCAAGAGAACACCTTGAAGGAATTGCGATCATTCAAACCTGAGGATTTCCAACAGTGTTTCTCCCAATTGAAGAAACGGTGGCAAAAATGCATCGACAAAGCTGGCGAGTATTTTGAAGGGGATAGGTGATGACTTGGTAAGCTGCTTAAAATGTTGATTTCCTTATTTTTAAGCATTTGAATAAGATTGCAACGAAGTTTTTAACTTAAAACCTGGGTTTTTTTTA